AGGAAGGATCTCGCTATGCAGTTCAGGCTGAACTCACTATGTAGCCCAGGCTGGCCTCGAACTTGAAGCAGTCCTCCTGCCTCAGCCTCCTGAGTGCTGGGATTGCCGGTATGCGCCACCAGGCCTGGCTCTTGCCACTTTCTGAAGCGGCTCTGGATGTCCTTTTCCCGGTGTGTCTTTACTTGTGCTGTCCTGGCTGCCTCGACATCCTGAGTTAATTCCGAATGTTTCTCTACCCTGGTCATTTAGACTTTGGGGAAGAACCAGAAGTCACATGGAGCCAGAACCAGTAAACAAGGTAGTTGAGGAGGAGGCGTCATTTTATTTATTTTTTAAAACTTTTTACCAGCCTGCCCTTCCGTTGGATGGCGCTCGGCAACAGCACTCCCTGTATTTTCATCACACCTCATAAAGGCACTCGCAAAAGAGGCCTCCAGAGCCGCTTCAGAAAGTGGCAAGAGCGATGGACAAGTGTGTTTGAAGTAAGGGGATTGTTTTGAGGGGATTCCTGGCACTGCGTCTTTTACTGTTAAATGTTTACAGTGTTAACGCTCCCCATGTATGCACTTTAGTTACTTATTTATTTTGGAGAGGGTCTCACTGTGCAGCCCAGGCTGGCCTCAAACTCGTGGTGACCCTCCTGCCTCAGCCTGCACCACCACACCCAGCCAACTGTGTGTTTCTGTCAGTCCCTGCATATCCCCATTTTGTAGAGAAAACAAGGCTGAGAGAGGGGACTATGGGCCCAGGAAGAGATGGAGTTCTGTCTCTCCTGGCTGCCACAGCTCTCTCCTCTCCACCCACCGCCCTTCCCCGTGCTGGAAGGAACACTGTGGGCCTGTGCAGACTCCAGACACGGGGACCCAGCAGATCTGGCCAGTGAGGGGACTGGGAGGGGCCTGGGGACAGTGAGGAGCCGTTACATTTAGGACTCAAGTGCTGCCAGTCGGGTCCGTGGTGCGGCTCTGTGGATTGATAGAGTCAAAGCAGAAAGAAATTTTGCCCTGGCTTGGGAGTCAATAACCGATCCAGGGGTGACCTTGCCCTTAGAAGAAACTCCATGGTTTCACTCTGTTCTACCTCCCAGCCCTTTTTATTTTTATTTTTTTTATTTTTTTGGAAACAGTGTCTCACTGAGTTGCTCAGGCTGGGTTCAAACTTGAGATCCTCCTGCCTCAGCCTCCTAGGAGTGCTGAGAATACAGGCACGCACCACCATGACTGGATGATTGGGAACATTTTAAGTTTTTCTCATAGTTTATTCTCTTACCTTGTATGTGTTGATATTTTAAGGTTTGTTGGAACCATGCCCCGTGCAGGCTGCCCCATCAGGTGTAGGGAGGTACACAGGGTGGGTGTAAGGAACTGGGGAGTTGCGGGGTCTGGTGCTGCACAGAGGTAGCACCGGGGACCCCAGGCCAATGAACTGTGCCGGGAGGTGACAGCACCAGGACATGGTGAGACAAGCGAGGCTCTCAGGTGAAAATCTTAAGGAGGCTCAAAAAAAACACAATAATCAAGATAATATTTTAATACAATTTTTGTAAAAATCAAAATTAAGGCTAAAAATTCTGTTACACAAAATAAATACTCACATTTTAAAGAAAGACAGGAGAGGAGCCTAATCCCAGCCCCACAGAGTGTTTGAAGGCAGAATGTCAGGGGACTGGAAAGGCATCCCTGCGGGGAACAACACATACGGCGGCTCAGAGGCCCGGTGAGCCTTGGGCAGTGCCTTCCACCACAGCGCTGGGCTGCAAGGAATGAGGGGAGGAAACCGGGAGACAGAGCACCAGGGGCTTGGAACCCCTCAGACAAAGGAGGCTCTCACGTGACAAGGTGGGGCGGGGGTCCCGGAGGGGAAGCGGCAGGAGGTGCAGCGAATGGCGGCGGCGTGTGGCAGATCCGTGTGACCTTAGAGGGCCCGGAGCAGCAGCCCGGAACACAGCCGGTCTCGGGACAGGCTGCTCACCCCCCACCCCGACCCGCACGGCCCCTGGGGCAGAATGGCGGGAAGGAG